TAAAATCAAGTTACATCAATCTTGTTTCTCAAACTATTCCACTGATTAGTAGTAGTAATAGTCGCAGAAACAGCGGCAGCGGCAGCAGCAGCAGTAGTAGTAGTAGTAGTAGTATTAGTAGTAGTAGTAATAGTATTAGTAGTGGTAGTAGTAGTAGGGGTGGTAGTAGTAGTAGTAGTGGCAGCAGAAGCGTTAGTAGTAGTAGTAGAAATAGTAGTAGCAGTAGTAGTAGCAGTAGTAACAACGATGTAACATCATCTCTAACAAATTTATTTTCACCGTTTCTTGGTTTTACGTATTAATGTACACACATAACAAATATTTTACTTGCGTACACTTTACTTCACTTATAACTTTATAAATGTAATCACGGTGAAATAGAAATAAAAAAAAAACAATGAGTGAAAAATAGTCAGTCACCACCAAATATGAAAACCGATTGTAAAATGTCTTAAAAGCCGTGGAGACATCGTCTCCAAATGAACAACTAACAAGATGACATGACAAAATCGTCATTAATTCGAAGTAATCGTTCATTTGATACTGATGATACAACATTGAAATGAAACTGTTGAAACTTATAAGTGATGGTAGCATTAATCCCGACATAACTGTCTAAATACGTTTGACTATACATATAAGAAGAAAGAGACAGAGAGAGATAGATAGAGAGAGAGAGAAAGAGGAAGAGACTAATGTACGTGTACGTGTTGTGAATAGCACGCAATTGTTACTTCAACCTATTCCTGGAAAGATAAAATTGAAAACACAAGCGTTCTCTTACTTTAGACAAAGCTTTTTTTATGCTGAGTGGTCTGATTGGCGCTTTGATACATTTTTTTCTTATTTTTATTTTTGTTTTTTTATTTTTTCACAGTTTTTTTTATTTTTTTAACGTATAATTGCACATTGCTCGCTATGAGGTGTTGTATGTGATGATGTGCTTGCGTCTCTATCGGTTGCCTCTTTTCTATGTTGATGCCTTCTAACTTTTGACTTTAAAAAACAATAACAACGTGAATACAATCCACTAAAAACAAAAACAAACTAAACAAAAAACAACAACTAACAACACCTAGCGACACCTAACGACAACAACCACCAACACAAACAGTAGACAAACGTCGCCACAGAAACGACCACACCCCACGTCCCAAATATTCCGTAGCCCTCATCACCACAACGGCCTACCAGCCCTACCCAGCTGACGAAGATGGCGGTCCCAAGGCTCCGAGACAGTCGACCACCGGCTTCAAAAACAAGTGCCCGCTAGGATTCCTCTACAACAGTTCTTACAGGAGATGTATCGGTAATGACACCTTTGAATTTTTATAGTTTCTACTACTACTACTACCACTAACTACTACTACTACCGCTGCGGCTGTTATCATTAGTAGTAGTAATAGTAGCAATAGTAGTAGTAGTTATAATAATAATATTAATAGTTAAAAAATTAAAATAAAATGAAATAAAAAGAAACAATTTTTGAACGCAGTATTTTTGACTTCTACTGCGTCAATACATTTTTTGATTGATTTTTACGCATTTCAAAATGAGCATGATCTACTGAAGGTGCGTGTTATAAATCACGCAATTACAGTTAGGAAATAATCACTGACTTAGTACATTAAAAAAAACATATGTGCGCATAATATTATAATCATAATAATAATTATTATTATATTATATGTTATTATAATAAAACAACACGTTTTTAAATGATTAATCAACCAAAAAGCACTGAACTTGGGACATTAGATAGAAATGTCACTTATAAGTTAAGATTTTTTGCAATCCAATTAAACGTTGAGTAAATAAATTGATTAATGAACAATCACACAGCCACGCGGGCCCTATATATTTCTATGTGAAACTTTCCGTGCGAATGATCATTATCTCATTTGTTTTTATTTTTTATTTATTGTTTTTTTTTTGTTTCCACGATCATATTCCCAAAAAGGCTTTTGTTTAAAGCTGAAACGTTCGCACCGAACAAAAAAAGATAGCAGCAATAGATATAACCGCCGCCGTCGCAATAAACAACAGAGTAGATAGATTTATGTGATTTAGTTAATTATTATTGTAGGAACGATCACTAAATCATTTGTGTAAGGCGGTATGTATGTTTATCATTTTATCTATATGAATTATCTATATTTACAAACATAAAAATCCCACCCAATTAAATCATTTGATCAAAATAACAAAAAACCAATCAAATCATTCCATCTAACTAAATAAAAGGACCAATCAAAATCGCTAAACCATTCAGACATAAATGAATGCGACCAATCACCTTGCTACTTCTACGAGGAGTGCCAGAACACCCAGGGATCGTACATGTGCGTGCCCAAGTCCATCAGATGCCCTCAGGGCTACCAACAAAATCATCACATGACAGATTGTGAAGGTGGTCACTTGATCAATTGAGTTTGTTTGTTTGTTTGTTTGTTCGTTTGTTTGTTTGTTTGCTGGTTTGTTTGCTGGTTTGTTTGCTGGTTTGTTTTCAATTGCATTTTAACATTTTGTCAATGGTAGTTTGTGCTTTCAATTACCTTATGTTTGTTTTAATTAATTTATTGTTAATAATGTCTATCTACTGAACATAGCTTATACAGGAACAAACGTGTGTTTACAATATCACCATAATCATCATCAATATAATTACCCATATCATAGATCACCATTCCATCATTAACGTCATTACAACCATCACCATCATCATCATCACAACTACTACCATCATCACAACCATCATCACCATCACAACTACTACCCTCATTACCAACATCATCGTTGCCCACATCATCATCACCACCATCACCACCACCACCACCATCATCATCACCACCACCACCACCATCATCATCGTCATGTAGACATTAATGAATGTTTGGAGCATCCCAATCCGTGCTACTTGAACGAGGATTGCGAGAATCTTCCCGGTAGCTTTAGATGTGTTGCACAGGGAGCAACGCAATGTCCGACCGGATACCGAATCAATTACTACAATACCGACTGCGAAGGTACTGCTGCTACTGCTGCTGCTACTGCTGCTACTGATGATGATGATGACGACGATGACGATGATGACGGTGGTGATGATGATGACGATGACGATGGTGATGATGACGATGATGATGATGACGATGATGGTGATCATTATGATAATTATGATGATGATGGCTATGTTAAATATTGATAATAATAATAATAATCATAATATAAACACGAAAATATAACTACTAGAATGAAAAACAAGAAACTAGCATAAGCAACAACGACACAAAAAACAACAAAAGCAAAACAATCAAAGAAAATCGCTATGACAACAACAAACATAACAGAAAAAAGGAAGAATAATAATAACAATAATAATAACAACAACAATAATAACAACAATAATAGCGAAAACAATACCCAATCCAACATGCAGACATAGACGAATGTTCTGAGGGGACTCACAGTTGCGCAGTAACGGACGACTGCTTAAACAACGAAGGTTCCTTCCAGTGCATTCGACGTACCTGCCCGCCAGAGTACGAACTGTCCAACTACACTGGCAGATGTGAATACGTCTCCTGTGATGTCGGGCTCATTTATAATAGTGATGATAAGGCTTGCATAGGTTGTTGTTGTTGCTGTAGTCGTTGTTGTTGTTGCTGTAGTCGTTGTTGTTGTTGTGATGCTATCGTTGTTGTCGTTGTTGCTGTTGCTGTGGTCGTTGCTGTTGTTGCTGAAGTCGTTGTTGTGATGCTGTCGTTGTTGTCGTTGTTGTTGTTGCTGTGGTCGTTGCGGTGATCGTTGCTGTTGTTGCTGTAGTCGTTGTTGTTGTTGCTGTAGTCGTTGTTGTTGTTGTTGCTGTGGTCGTTGTTGATGTTGTTGTTGGGATGCTGTTGTTGTTGTTGTGATGTTGTCGTTGTTGTTGTCGTTGTGGTGTTGGTGCCATTGGTTTTTGTTGTTGGTCATGCTATCTTGTTGTGGTTGTTAATGTTCTAGGAAATCGTTATGCTGTTATGTCATTATTGTTGTTGATGTAATAACGGTTGTCGTTGTTGTGGTTTTCGATGACGTTGTTGATAACAACGAAAATTATAACATTAATATTAACGTTAATGCAGTCTCAGATATTCTTCTGTTAAATATTTATTTTGTTTTGTTATGAGATGTAACCTTTTTTTTAGTTTTGAGTTTATTTCAAAACTGTTTTTCAAAAATACAACGACCCATTTCTGATGCTAATGGTAAGAAATAAATTAATGTAAATAATATCAAAAAGACATAGACGAGTGTACGTTGTATCCAAACCTCTGTTCCCCGGGTCAAACGTGTGTTAACCTGCTGAAGAGTTACGAGTGCAAATACCTGATCGATTGTCCTACTGGCACGAAATTAGATCAAAATAGTGGGACTTGTGAAGGTTGGCTGGTTGACAAGTTGGTTGATCGATTGATTGATTGGTTGATCGATTGATTGGTCGGTTGATCGATTGATTGGTTGGCTGGTTAATCGATTGATTGGTTGGTTGATCGATTGATTGGTTGGTTGGTTAATCGATTGATTGTTTGTTTGATTGTTTGGTTGGTTGGTTGATCGATTGACTGACAGACTGACTGATTGATTGATTAATCGATTGATTGTGATTGTTTGATTGATAGATTGATTGAAAAATAATGGATCTAGTGATTAAGAAATATAAACAAATATATAAATAATTATTAAATTTCTACACTAAAAATATAATGCACTGGTTGATTTGTGGATTTAGAAAATGAAAGTTTTGAACCCGAAAAATGGATTAAAAGATTAACATGGTGATAAATGTATACTAACAAGTCAATACCTTAGTAAATTTATCGCCTGGTTAATACGGTTGAATAAAAGAATTCTAAATGAAAGACAGAACATTTTTAAAATAAATAATTTTACACAGTCAAAATATACAATTTTTCAAAATAAATAAATGAATTTGAAGAACAGTACACAAAATTTGTCCCCATACAGATATTGACGAGTGTTCGAGTCCAGATTTGAATGAATGCTCCTTGCATTCCCGTTGCGAGAACATCTTTGGCTCGTACATGTGCAGATGTGATGACGGATTCAAACATTACGACTACGATGCTTTTACTTGCGTTGGTAAGAAAAAATTATATTGCCGACTGTCGTAAAATGCAAAATCTACGCACAACCGACCAACCATCAAACCAACCAACCAACCACAACCAATCAACTATTCAACCAACCAACCAGCCATCCAACCAAACAACCAACCATACATTCAACCAACCAGATATAGACGAGTGCAAGGAATGGGGCCCGTGTGATCAGGGATGCATGAACACGTTGGGATCGTATGAGTGCTACTGCAAAACCGGGTTTCAACTGAGAGAGGATAAAAGAATGTGCATCGGTAGAAATTCTTAATTTCATTTATAGTAAATTTAATTTTTAAAATTCTATTTTAAACTTTTTAAGGTTTGAAATATTCTTGCTTCTGCTGCTACTGCTATACTGCTATGAACGTTGTATTGATCATTTTTCGTTTGGGTCGGGATGGAGAACATTTTTTGACGTTTTCATTAATGCTATTAAAATTTATTCCTACCATGTTATCATTTCAATCTGGCGTAATGAAATTTTTATTTCTTGCATGAATATAGCTTTCGAAAACATTTCCTTTTTTTAATTTGATTTGACGCGTTCGCAATATGATTTTTTTTGTTACAATACATATACATACACATATATACAAACGCAGTGTTAACCCCGTAAAACTAACCACGTGCACACATCACCTCCCCCCCCCACACACATACATAAACACACCACAACACACACATACACACACATACACACACATACATACACACACATACGCACACACAAACACACACACACGTAGATATAAATGAATGTGACACACCAGTGTCTGGCAATCCGGTTTGTTACGGTTTGTGTCATAACACAATTGGTTCTTATATGTGTCATTGCCCCGCCGGCTACAATAACACTAAAGACAAGCGATTCTGCCAGGGTTTTTTTTGTTTTGTTTTTCTAATTTTTTCTAATTTTTTTGCAGTTTTGCTGATTAAATGCGTGCACCTTTTTAGCAGTGGCCTAGTCATGAGTTCGCTGTTTGTTTGTTGCTGGTTGGTTCATAGTTTGAAAAAGTTGACATCATGTTTTTTGCTCTAACCAATCCATTTTTTTCATTGGTTTTATACTAAACTGAATGTTATATGTGAAAAAGTTTGTTGGTGTGGCTGTAGTTATTCAATTTTAAAATGAAAATTTACATGAATTTTTATGGAAGAAAATTTTGTTGATTTTTGTATTAATAAAGTTTTCAAAAACCGCTTGCCTGCCTACGCCACTGCTAATTAATGTTTTGCCATCTTATGTTTTGTTTAATGTTTATAATACTCGCTGTGTGCAACTGAACTTCATAAAATAAATAATTCATCAACTAAACTTCATAAAATAAATATTTCATCATTCATTTGTATTATATACCGATATTAAATCGTTATAAGCTACCCACATTATACACTTTAAAACCCTGGTAATCCTGTTAAAAACGCTGAAAAACTCAAATAAAAAAAACGAATACTTGAATATGCTCACCTAGATTTTTGTTTTTTTTACCTCTGGCCTACTAACTTAAAAATATCTACTTTGAAGACGTGAAACTTAACGAAATTGGTTTGCATATAATGAAATGGATGCCCTATCTTTTTTGCAAACTGAAACATGTCAACACTGACTGATAACGATCAAATCTAATTTCATTTTTCACTTCTCATTTGAATTTTAGTGCTTTAGATTGAAGTGAAAAATTGTGGCTATTGTGGTTAATACGTTTTTATAGGTGGTTTTCAGCTAATATGAAATGTTAGGACATGTCACATTTTATTATAAAAAGCATTAGGTATAAGATGCTTTAATTGCAATGCAACTTCAACAAATCAATAGATTCAAATATAATCAAAAATAATATCAAATAACTCTAAATTTTAAATACAAATAAATAAATAATACATTGTAACACCGAATGAAATGATGTCACTTAAGACATAGACGAATGCAAGATGGATCCGAACCTATGTGGTGGTCCAGACGACGTCTGCATCAACACGCTCGGTGGCTACAAGTGTCAGACTGTCAAGTGTCCCAAGTCCTTCATCTTGGTCAAAAGCCGCATCTTCAATACTGAGTTTGCCATTTGTTTCTATAGCTTTGAGTTTTTGTTTTCATCTCATGATATTTTTATTTTGTTACGATTCTTTGGTAATAAAAATTTTTGGTAGGTTTCGGTCAAAATTAATTGTTTTTATTTTATTTTGAAGTCAGGACAATATTGCAAAATGTAATAATATAATTATAACTTCTGAATTAATCAAGCACTGTTATTTTTTGCAACTGCCATCTTACCACCACCATCATCGCACCTCCAGCATGAGCGTATTCTGTCGCAAGATGCAGCAAACCTGTCCATTCAACGAGCACGACTGTCTGATCATCCAATCCTTCTCCATCAACTTCATCGTCCTTGACACGAGCAAGATCATCACCCCGATGACGCTGCACGTCGTCAAGATGAAGATGACGAGGGGAAGCGAAATGAGGTACAGTCTGGAGGTGGTGTCCGCCATCGACCCTGCCACCGGATATGACGCAGGAATTGATGAAAGGATTTTCTACGCCAATAAGGTTAGGCACTAATTTTTTTAATTATCAAACACGCAAAATTATCAAACGAGTAACATTCTTTAGACAAACAAGAAATCTAATGACCATTGTTGGCACAATCAACATTCACACACCTTTCGTTAAATAATCAACCACCAAATAAGCATTCAATCAATCAATCAATCAACCACACAATCAATACACCTACCACCAACCTGCCAATAAATCAATCAAGTAGCTAACTACTTAACAAACCAACCAATCAACCAACTAGCTTCCAGACGATAGAGTAGCCATAGAGTTATACGAGCAGATAGATGAGCCGGTAGACATAGAACTGCAACTTACCATAGATCTGTACGACTCAAAGCGCAAGCACAAGGGTAAGTACATCAGCAAGTTGTACATATACGTAACCAAACATACCTACTCACCAGAAAGAAGATATGACTATTCACACTGGCGTTGATAAATTTTTGATTTGAAGACAATTATTTCTATAAAATTGATTAATTAATTGATTAATTATGTAATTAAAAAATTAATTAATGTAATTTAATTAATTTCCTAACTTTGATTTTCAAAAAATTCATTTAAGTAAATGTGATTGGTTGTTGTTAGTGTTATATTGATTGTTTTTGACTTCGTCGTTGTGGTTTTATTTGTTTTTAAGTTAAGTATTTTATATTTTTTGGTACACATACAGACAAATACACGCACACATCAACACACATACACACACACACAACACACACTCATATACTCATGTTATTGTGACTATTATCATTGTTGTTATTGTTAATTAATGTTATTATTTTTTTTCATTGTCAATACTATAAATCTCTACAAGAATAATTATATACATACTTCTTAACAATTACTTAAGATACATTTATTTTAGCCAAATAAGTTATCATCGCCACCGTTAATCATCCTCCACTCACTCACTCACTCATTGCTTAACTTAACTGCAACCATAATCTCAACTTAATTTATAACTCTTGAATGTGAAACATATTTTTTAATTTCAATTTAAAAATTTCATAATACATCAATGCGTTTATTTATTTATTGTATATTTATTGTAAACATTTGTAAATATATGATACAGCACACGCACACACACACACACACACACACACACGCACACACACTCACGCACACACGCACAAACAAACTACGCAAAAACTTATTTGTAGCTTATCTAACGAGAAGGTAAAACTTATTAATGACGAACGGTTGATGATAAAAACTCAAGAAGCTTAGGAAATTTCGTCCTTTTTACTTTTTAAATGCCTTTTACACCCACCAAAAGCATTTATTTTTGATACAGACGATCACGTTCGTCTTCGAGACAGTGTTTACTTATCTATATGAACCATGAAACTTTTAATAACGCGTTACAAACGTATACTTGTTGACAAAAAAAACTTTGAATGCATGTCACGTGCCCGATTTGTTTTGGTGAATGTTTTTTTCTCTTTTCTTTCTTGTTTTATTTATACTGCTTGTTAAAAAATAATAATTTTTTTCATATTTGTTCATTTCATTCATATTCGGTTTTTGATATCTAAGTCTTGTAGTAAAAATTATGCGCGTGAAACACACACACACACACTCAAATTCGCACACACAAACACGACTTCAGTTAATTTTGTATGATTTGTTTGTTACTTGATCACTTCGGTGAAAATTCGAATGAAAAATTATTTCAAATTGAAGAGACACAAACTTTGAAAGAATTGAAAGAAGAGAACAAATTTATGCATTATTGATTATTTCGAAATTTCAATTTTTATATTTTTCGAGATATTTTTGCAGTTCAATAAAAAAATAAGTAAACATAGTTTTTTATAATTGTTATTCTGGACAATATTTTTTGGTTCTAATTCACACGTGGTAATTATTTTATAAATGTTGAAATAAAATATTTCATTATAACACACAAAAAAACTCAATACCGGTGGTTTTCAATCATGCAACCAACCGGCGACCAGCCAACGAATGGATAAATGAGTGAATGAATGAATGGATAAATGAGTGAATGAGTGAATGAATGAATAAATGAATGAATGGGTAAATGAGTGAATCAATGTAAGAATGATTAATCAATTATATATATCAATCACACTAGCAATAAAGGCAAACATTCAGTAAGTCACTAAATCATGATTAAGGTCAAGAAATGAATGAATTCATAAGCCAATAACACAAAAAAAACGATAAATGAAATCAGAAAAAAATAATAAGTGACTTAAAACAAAGAATAAGTTAGCAATAATAAAGAAAAACATTTTAAAACGAATTATTAAAATAAATTAATTTAAATGAAATAATCAGCTTGTTAGTACATTATTCGCCAATAAATTTGGGTGGTCTCTTTTCTTTAAAGGCTTTCAGCGCTTCTACTCTATCCTTAGTTGGAATGACCTGGTGATATCATATCATATTGTATCATTTTAACTGTATCAAACTATAATTTAATTCGATTGTATCACATTATAATTGTATCATACTATCATTATCATCGTCGTCATCTAAGTTTTAACAATTAGCACAATCATTTTTTTTATAAAATCGTTAATTTTATTTTCAAGTTATTCTAAAATTAGGATAAGCGAGTGCTTGGAATGATTGAGACAACAAATGTATGGATAGGCCATTTATTGGATGTTGATATGTTGAAAGGAGTTGTTCTAAATTTTAGTTGAAAATTATCTAAAAAATGAAAATAAATACCTGGGCATAAAAGGCTTGCTCATAGGCGAGGCCAGATTTAAGGTCAACCTATGACATGAATGACCGGAAATAATATCAAATAAATAATCGAAAAATGAAATTTTTTCATGGGAACATTCTCACCAATAATTTTCAACTAAGTCAGTTCTACATAACAATATAGAATCATCGTCGTCATAATCTTCATCATCATTTTCATCGTCACCGTCATTATTTACACCAGCACCATCGTCATACTCATTAGCGTCCATTTCACCATTTCACCATCGTTGTTAATTGACAGCTACTAACTCCGTATCCTTTATCAACTGCCATTTTTGCCATCCTGATAGCTATTGGTCCCTGGAGAACAATTTACAAACATGTTGAATTTAAAAACAAAACACCTCAAGACATTATGACGCATGAATAACTGAAAAGATATTGAATGTAGAATCAAATCAAAAACAAACTGGACTAGATAGACTTTTGTGAAAACTCAAAATAAATTACAAATTACAAAATTAAATAGATAAAAACAAAATCTTCAATATTAAATCATCAATGTACTATCCAATTTAACCAACGTTAGAATTTATCATGTCAGCAACTTCCAAAGACTTCAAATAAGCTGCATTTTTTTCAGTGTTCTGGGGTACGACATAATTGGCCACGCCTATTTTGTGGGCCTCCAGGCCATCTATAACTCGGCCAGTGAATATTAATTCTTTGGCGGCTGACAATCCGATCAGCCGAGGTAGTCGCTGGGTTCCACCTGATTTCAACCATTATCAATGATAACTAGTGGACTTGTGCTACTTAGTAATGAAAAATGTAAAATGAAAAACTAATAGTATCATAAACTAGAAAGAATAGTAATAATAGTAATAGCAATAATAGTTAGAGTAATGAAAAAATAATATTATATATAATTAGAATATGATGAAAATTGATAAAAATAAACTTACCAGCTCCAGGTATTATAGCCAACTTGGTCTCTATCAATCCAAGTTTAGCACTGTCAGCTAATTTGATTAATTTGAATAAAATCAAATTGGATTAATTTGAATCAAATTTGAACAATTATGTAAAACTATTTCCTTCAAAAGTATGTAACTTGATAAAGAATTGAAATGGACTGTTAAAAAATTAAAACTCCCCACTAATGAAGAACACCACTAAACATTCATTCACATGATCAATAAATAAATTCAGAAATAATCAAAAAGCATGTTAATAACAAAACTTTCAAAGCAGAAAACTAACACAGCACTATATACACATGTTTTTTCATGTCATAGCAATTAGCAGCTCATCAAACAAGACACTGGCATCATACATATCTCAAGCAACTAACAGGCAATGATGAGATCACAGCTGAGAGCAAACTCTAAGCCTCCCCCAAGTGCCACGCCATCTACAGCAGCAATTGATGGGATGGGCAGGTCAGATATATCCACTGTTAGCTGCCTCAGTGATGCTACAAATGGTCCAATGTCTGATTCGTCCATGGCCAATCTCTCTTTCAAGTCGGCACCTAATTTATGAATTTGTAAATTTTACTATAATTAATAAAAAATATATTGTTTTTATATTATTATTATAATTATATTTTTGTTAAATGGTAAATCATGTTTAATATCAAAAAGATCAAAAAATTATTTTTAATCACCGGCACAAAAGACACCCGGTACAGAACTTCTTAAGACCAGAACTGACAACTTTTTTTCATTTTTACAGATCTCAAGTGCATCTTTGAACTATTTCAAAATACAATTGAAAATAATATTACAATTTTATATTTTTTATTCATTAATCTATTTATAATCAGAACTAATAAATATGACTTAAAAAATAAAACAAAAAATTATTATCAGTGAATATATCCCCAAAAATGATTTGAAATAGAAAAAAGTGACCTGTTTGACAAGGCTTTTGCTGATTGCATTTTTTGTTTTGAACCTGGTCAGAGTACCCACAGCTATTCCTGTTTTTAATTATATAAAATAATTATAAAAAAATCATTTAACTAAAAAAAACTAAAAAGTAAAACTAAGTAAAGTTGAGTTATTCATTATTTTCAAGTTCTGTAAATCAGCTACTAATCTATTAATTGATATACTAGTAGGAGACCAGTTAGCTGTTAGCATCAATAGAAAAGAAAAATGCTGCACCATCCAATATTTTAGCATTTATATAATTCAGAAGTTTTAAGCCAAGGCAAACATAATGCTTGCATAACCAACCAAAGCCTACAATTATCTAAAAAAATTAGGAAATTTGGAGTTATTTTGGTTCAGTTCAGCGTTCAAGTGTTCAACCTAACTGAACTTTTCAAGTTCAGTAAATTGATTAAATTAAAATATTAAATTAACTGATTAACATTAAATTAAATTAACATTAGCAACCTCATTTTCTTATGCAAAAATTTAATTTTAGCAAGCAGTGACAGCTGACAAAACAAAATGTAAACCATACATTGAGCGTAACTAGCCCTAAATTCAATCAATAGCGATCAATTTGTTTAACCTTTTCTATCATTTTCAAGGAATTCCAAGGTAAAATCCTCATCCTGGAAATTGGTGGCTGTTCGTTTTTGTTGCACACCTAAAACGTTTTTATGCAAAAACAATCTATCTAATGTTCTTAATATTATCGAATTTGATCTGAGCATATTAAAAGTTTTAACTATTAAAAATAGTTTTTATTAATAGTAATAAAAAAAATTAATTTGAACAGCGCAAAACAAAACAACCACCGGGTCGATGAACTGAATTTATAACTTTATATAGTAAAAAGCAAACCACGTATACCATTGAAGTAGACATTCAATGGTATACCATTGAATGTCTACTTCAATGGTATACTTCAATGGGTCGATGAACTGAATTTATAACTTTATATAGTAAAAAGCAAACCACGTATACCATTGAAGTAGACATTCAATGGTATACCATTGAATGTCTACTTCAATGGTATACTTCAATGGCATTCTCCATAAATATAGAATAAAATCCAGGATAACCGAGTGTCCGGTATTTACATATAGAATATGCCACATATGTAAAATATACATAGGAAATCATGTTTTCAACGATTTAATGGACAGAATAAGTATAAAATTCCATGCTCCATTATTATACGAATCGAATGAATCCGAGTACATTATCAGAATCGGCCAAGTCTGAAATTGATTTTTTACGGAACTTCGATGCGAACCACGAGCGTAGTGTTATTATCAAATTCGTTTTGAAATCTTGTTGAGCTAAAATATTTCGATAAGTGACCAACCGTCGGACATCTTCTGTCTTGCACGTAGGTACATTCATCAATTAGATCAATTAATCAAATAGTCCATCAATCAAAGATATCGTAGGCAGTGATAAGTAACAACATGCTCGCAATCAACATTTGCGTAGCGTTCAACAGTATTCACCCATGAACTAGCTTTGTAGTAGATCCCCAAGCAGAGATTTTTCTAAACCGCAATCACCCGCATCCGCACTGCTCATTATCCGCATCCGTACCACATCCGCGAAAAGACAACCTACATCGGCCGTCTTAATCTCATGTTTAAAATTAGAAGATAGCAACACTAGAAGGCAATCTATTTACAATATAATTATAATCAGAAAGCAGATAATCTGCTGAGAAGACATTTTTCAATTTAAAACCAAATGAACGATCTAATGAGTGAACCAAATGAACGAATATTGAATTATGAAAAAAAGCGCCAACAAACATTCAAGCGAAAATACCATGGATAATACCTACAAACAATTTCAAGATTTTAATATGGTAAGAAAGACACATGGTTGCTTTGCTTTTATTTGATATCATTTTTAAAAAATTCGGATTTTAAACAAACAAATATAACGAAATATTGACCGATAACAAATTATTTATTACTATTATTATTATTATATATTCGATCCTATGTTAAAATATCAATTCCCTTTCGGTTTCGATTATTTTCAGGTATAAAACTTCGTTTTTTTTCAAACGATATTTTTTTTTAAATTTTATTGAAACAATTTAAAAATTTAAATGTTAAAAACAAATTATTATAAGTCTTAAAACATATGTCATAAATTATTATAAATCTTAAAACATGTCAAAACTCAGAGAAAACATCTATCTAATTATATCGTCCAGCCGCTTCCAACATTCAATCAACTTTTTGGATGGACTAGGAGTTCTCGAAGGATAATAATCCACGTAACATGAACATTTAGTAAGAACAATTCACAACATATCATAATGGCTAAATCAACATACCAAACAGAAATTATATACATACATGCATATATAGTACAAAGTAAATCAAGAAATACCAAAAATTATATAACCAAATTAAAAAAACTAGAAACCAGTCAACATTTAATAAATGAATAAATAGACATTATTAAAAAATTGTTCAAAAAAGTAAAATTTAAGGCGACGACGAACGAGCGCCTTCGATACTTTCTGGTTGGCTGGTTGAATCTGCTATAATGCTTTTTATTTAAACATATAATCTTATTAATTATTTGTATACATGCGGATTCTAGTTACTTTATATATATATATATTATATAAATTCATTATAAAACAACAGTAATCAGTGCTACATACGTACGCACGCAGTTCTAATTTTTCTGGGAGAATTCAAAATGGTTTGAGACCACACCTTGCTTAACAACCAATTCCAAGCCGAGCTAAGCCAAGCCGAGCCAAGCCAAGCCGAGCCAATATGCGTTGATTTATTAAAATTTTTAAGCTGTCAGGTCAGAATCATCATCATCAATATCGCGATGAAATCAAATTGAAATTTTTTTATAAATTGTTGATAAAAGTAACTAGTAAAGAGTAAAATGTTTAAATTTTTCTGAGAGAATTTAAAATAATTTGAGACTACACCATTACACAATTTGAATGTGTAAATATAACATTATAAATGTATTATAACTACATCTATCTATTTCTTTATTTAGTTTTGCCTTCGTATGATATTTGGTCAAATTTATTTTATAGGAATTGAATATAACCTTTATACCGGCTAAATCACTAACAGGCCGTTAAACAACTACTGTTGACATGACGTCATTTGCCCATCCTATTTTATAAGTTTTATTTGATGTTTTTTAATTAGTCGGTCACAACCATCATCGTCGATATCGCAATGAAATCAGATTGAAAATTTTTAAAATTTTTGGAAAAAGTATCTTTATTCATTTTATGATACCATATAATAACAGTTACCGCAGACTAAACAATAAAACGTTTCGTCATAAATTAAATTATCCTTGTCCTATTTTAGTATTATTTAACCGTACAATTTTTATACTGGAAGAGAAAATTGAAAAAAAATTTTTCATCGTTCATTTTTTGACTTCGTTCTCCGTTACAGCCTTGACGCAGTTGGCCATGGTCTTTGAAGACCTGCTGATGACATCTGTCATGTAGAAATCCCGGAGGGATTGTTGGGGCGGTACCAGCGGACTGGCTGCTAATGTTTTTGGAACTGCCTACTCAGTGGGGTGGAAAAGGATTAAAGTTTAATTCAATAAGATAGAAACAAGTTCAAAGCTAACTTATTCCAATGATATAAAATATATAAGAATTTGGATTGACACAAATTGTATGATGTTATAGAAACGTTGATTCTATTTATATCACAGTGCATAACAATGAAAGTAAATAAAATAAAGCACCAGTGAACAAAAAAAAACTACAGACTTGAGCCAACTCAAACGCCTGTTTGAAATAATTTGCCTCCTCCAAGTTGCCATATTGAACTAAATTAGGTGACACTTCAGACAGACGTTGGCGCACACCATCCAGGCTGTCATAAGACAACGGGTGACCAGAAACCTATGTTTTAATTATTTAACATTTTCTAATGAAAATTTTTTTAAATAAAAGAAATAACACACTACATAACTAAGTTTAACAGTCCGATGGAGTTAAATAAAAAAATTTTATTTTAAATTCCTGATTAAAAAAGATGGCGAGTGACCTCAGACAAGGCTCTGATGATCTTCCAATCTTCCCTAGCCAGACCGGGAGGTGAGACAGCCATCCTCGTCTGCTGGGCTCTCCCCTCCGTGTTCACGTACGTCGCTGTTTTCTCCGTGTACGCTGCTCCCGGTAGGACAACATCGGCCATGCTGGCACCCACATCTCCGTGTGAACCTGAAGTAGAGGGAGTGTTGAGGAAATGAGGAAATAAATTTATCAAGATCTGCAATTACCGCTTTTTGTTAAGGTATTTATGGGATGGATTCGTCTTGAAAATGTTAGATATAATATACTCAGTGATGAATTCAACTATATATCCAAATTAGAAGCAATAGGAAAACGAAATTTAAAAAAGAATAAACACCACAAATTTAGATTTTAAAAAAATTTACAAACCCTGATAAACGATGAAACAATCTTTGGGAAAGTCATTTCTCGTGATGACGTCATCGGCTCCCAAGAGGAACAACAACTTTGGAGGATTGTCCTTGATGTGTTGGATGCCTGCCTTGTAGCCGAGGTCCAATGCAGCTACCTGGCTGGCTACCTGCCAACCATCATGAATCACATGTCACACACCACATACATTCATCCATTCATTCATTCATTTATTTGTTTGTGTTAATAGAAATTGTATAAAACATCAAAAAAAAAATAAAATACTTAATTAAACAAACAAATGCCAATAAATAATTATTACAAATCCAAAAATGTATACAAAGAATAAAAAGGACTATGGAAATAGAAGGGAGAACATTTCAAAATATAAAAACCCTATGGAGAACATTGAGGACTCTCCAATCATTCCCGCACTGACTCGACGTGCGAACGTGTTGTGCTAGTTGAGTGACCAGGGCATGAATGGACGAGCCATCTTTTCTTTGCAGGGCTGCACTGCCAACCACTATCATAGGACGACGAGCCGACGACAACGTCTGCAAGGCGTAATTGTAGAATTACAATACACCAGTATGTAATCAACTATTTAGTACATGAATAACCTCTACAATCAACCATAAAATGGTAAAACGTTTTAACAACAACAGTCTGGAACAAAAACTGACAAAACCAGATAATAACACACTGAGTCAAATTTCAAAATTGTGATTTAAAAATGACCTTGTAGAATGGATGCTTGCCAGAAAGCAGGTCAAACAAAACGTTCGGTGAGTCACCCAGAGACTATTTGAAGAAAAAAATGAAAATGTTTAAATCCAAAACACAAATTTAAATGCTATTTTGAATTAACAGAATCTTTAAAAATAGATTCAAATAAAAATATAAAATTAAATAAATAAGACAATTGTGTTCAATGATAAATCAACGTACTTCATAATCGTAGGTAAGGTTCAATTTGGGACCAATGACGCCAACTTGCAAGTCGTTATGTAACCAACTGTAATGGTTAAATGATTAAATGGTTAAATGATTAGTCCTGGGTATGACATAAAACTGCATCCACGCTGCCTTGCGTGCTTTTGAGCAAAAGGCTAGGCCCACCGCTTATAACTGGTGGTTGTCGTCAGGATGGGTGTCCGGATGTAAAAACTTTTCCCCAAATTATTCCTATGCCATCACAAAGAAAAACAACGGCCCCTAGTCCCCAGCAGGCCTTAAGTGGTCAAGGGGTGCCAAGAATCCCTGGGAAGTATGCAATAGCGGAGGGATGTTGCAGAAAAATTCAGAATAGCCCCTCTATGGTACTTAGACTTGGAACGCTCAATGTTGGATCACTGACTGGTCGCAGCATGGAAATCGCAGAAATGCTCGAGCGTAGAAGGATTGACATCTGCTGCCTTCAAGAAACCCGATGGAAATCGAATGGTGTCTGTCATGTCAACTTAGACAAAGAAAAATATAAACTATTCTGGAATGGTCAAAAGACGGCCAAAAATGGTGTTGGAATTTTTGTTAGAGAACCGCTAGCCCAAGAAGTACTGGATATTAAAAGGATTAATTCACGTCTCATGTGGATCAAGCTTCGCATAGAAAAGCAAACAATGATTATTTTTTCTGCATACGCACCACAGACAGGCGAATCAGAAGAGATGAAAAATGACTTCTGGACTGCATTCTCTGAGACCATCTCAACAATACCAAAATCTGAAACAATCCTGATTGGAGGCGATCTCAATGGCCACGTTGGAGAGAAAACAGATGGTTTTGACAACGTACATGGCGGTTTTGGCTATGGAAAACGAAATAAAGATGGCAACCGCATCCTTGAGTTTGCTGAAAGTCACGGGTTTTGTTTACCAAACACATGTTTTAGAAAGATGTTGGAACATCTCATAACATACAAAAGTGGACCATCAGCCACGCAAATTGATTTCTTCGCTGTCAAGCAACCACACCGAAGGCTGTTCAAAAACGTCAAAGTTATACCTGGCGAATCATGTTTCGCCCAACATAGACTCCTTGTGGCAGACCTGGTTGTCGAACTGTCAAAACATAAGTCTAAACAAATGCCTCGGAGAATCAAAACGTGGAAGCTGAAAAGCAATAATCATCGAAAAAAATTTCAACAGATTGTCGCCACACAGTTAGACCACCAATCGCAAGCCAGTACAGATTAGAGTACATACAAAACCGTTTTAATGAACGTTGCAACTACAGTTTGTGGGAAAACTGGTACAAAACGTCAGCATGAACGTGACACTTGGTGGTGGAATGACAATGTACAAAATGCAATAGCTGAAAAGAAAGTTGCATACAAGCAATGGCAAAAATCAAAGTCTGTAGATGACCATCAAATTTTCCGTGAGAAGAACAACTATGCAAGACGTCAAGTTGCACTGGCTCGGACAGATCAGTGCAGAGAGTGGCTCACTAAAAGCAAAGGTGAACAAATGAAATCTCTGTATCGTATAGCAAAACAAGCAAAGCGTACGAAAAAAGACATAGTTGGTGCCTCATGTATCAAAAACGACAAAAATGAGATGGTTCTTGAACAAGATGAGATCAAGCTACAGTGGAGAGAATACTTCAACCATCTGTTAAACGAAACAAATCCCATCAATGTTAACTTTGACGCTCCACCCATCGAAGGTCCGATTCCAGACATCACTGTAGAGGAGCTTACAGAAGCTCTGAAAGCTATGAAGGATGGAAAGGCAGCAAGGCCCTCTGGACTCACAAATGACATTATCAAAGCATCTGGTACTGCAGGTATCCAAACGTTACTACAACTTTGCCGTGAAATCTGGAGAAATTGCTCAACGCCGACTGAATGGAACTATAGCATGACAGTCCCGCTATACAAAGGCAAAGGTGATCCTTTGAACTGTTCATCATATCGGGGTATACGTCTGTTAGAACACTCCCTGAAAATTGTCGAAAAAGTCATTGAGAGAAGATTAACGTCGTGCATCACAATCGGAAATTATCAATTTGGTTTTCTAGCGGGGAAATCAACAATTGATGCAATTCACATCCTTCGGCAACTGCAAGAGAAGTACCTCGCAAAGCATCAACAACTATCACACATTTTTATAGACCTTGAAAAAGCATTTGATCGAGTTCCCCGTGAAGCAATCAAGTGGAGTCTACGTCGACAACTCATTCCAGAATATCTTGTTCGACTTGTGATGGAAATGTATACGAATACTAAGACTCTTGTCAGCACAACGGTTGGAAACACAGATGCATTTGACATCGGCGTTGGAGTTCACCAAGGCTCGATTCTCAGTCCACTGTTATTTATAACTGTGATGGAAGAAATTACAAAACCGATACGCACTGGTGACATTTGGAATCTAGTATATGCTGATGATATCGTTTTAACTGCCACGTCTGAGCAGAATGCAGCACAGATGTTTGAAGATTGGAACACCAGACTCGCCGATCATGTATTCAAAGTCAACATCAGCAAAACCAAAGCAATGAACACTGGTGAACCCATCCAATCAATCCCATACAATCAGCTACTGGACGATGGCCCTGTTCAGTTTGTAAAGCTGGTGTAGGTAACAATTCAATCAAGTGTCAGCAGTGTATCCAGTGGTGACAAAAACGTTGTTCAAAAATAATTGGTACTTTATCTAAAGTGTCCAATTTTGTTTGTCCTGCTTGCATCAATCCACAACAACAAATTCGAAATAGCACTGTTTTTGAAGCCATTAAAATAAAGAAAGTCACATCGTTTCAACATCTAGGGGATGTTCTGGATTGTACTGGAACAGCTGAAGCTGCCGTTCGAGCACGCACACGTGCAGCCTGGAATAAATGGCATCTCCTTGCCTCTATATTGATGCGGTGTGACATCCCACTACCACTACGATCAAGACTTTATGTGTTATATGGTGCAGAAACATGGCCAATGACAACCAAACTGGAACAACAACTTCTACGAACCGACATGAAAATGCTCCGATGGATGCAACGAATTAGTCTGAATAAGCACATCAAATCTACCGAAATCCTGCGTCGAATGCCGGCAACACCGTCTGCGGTGGTTTGGTCATGTCAAACGAAGTGGAAACAGTGCCATAACTTCTCTTGCAGATGTTGAAGTACCTGGCACACGTTTAGATGATATAAAGAACGAATGCCGGCAACACCGTCTGCGGTGGTTTGGTCATGTCAAACGAAGTGGAAACAGTGCCATAACTTCTCTTGCAGATGTTGAAGTACCTGGCACACGTCCTAAAGGCCGTCCAAAGAAGTCCTGGTCACAAACAATCGAGCAAGACATGAAAGCTCTAAATTTAAATGAAATGAATACAACTGATCATCTAATTTGGCGCAAAAAGTTGATGGCAAAGAAAACAACGTCCTACCTCGGGAAACAGGGTCTCTGGACGCAAAACGAAGATTGATTGATTGATTGTAATGGTTAAATGATCATTCTTCTAAAATGAACACATCAAAAACGAACAAGTTACACAATTTGGGATTAAAATTACAATTAGGCAAGAATGAAGAATTAACATGCACATTTCAAGTACTCAGTACATTCACTCAGAAGCAGACCTCTTTCTGATGCGGGCATTGAAGACGGGGGCTTCGTAGCGAGGATTGGTTCCCACCAGAAGCAACATGTCCGCCTCTTCAACTCCAGCAATCGACGTGTTCATCAGGTAGTTGGATCTCAGGTCGGTACTGTAATTAATTAGGTTAGCATAAGAAAAAATTCAGGCAAAAAATTTGAATCAATATTGGCAGCTATTTATTTATAAATGCATAGGTTATTGTTCATTTTAACATCTGCCAGTGCAAATTCAGTAAAGAATAAAAAAAAACCAACAAACCCGGCAGCGTCGTTAGGAAATGTTTCTTCAGTGCAGAGTGATTCACTCCCCAACTTGTTGACAAAATCCTTCAAAGCTACAAGCGCTTCAGCATCACTTTGACCTCCGGCAACTGCTGCCACATCACTTCCTTTGACGCTTAACATCTGCGGTGAGGTGGTTCATTTGTGATTTGAATGTAATCTGGTCAAAACATTGAAACCTGGATTAAAATCATAAAAAAGCATTAATTTTTATATAACGAAATAACAAATTATAACCAAATTTTTGTACGTAGATGAGAAAAAAAATTAATAAAAACATGACATATGGCCATATAAACTAAGCAGACAGACCTTCTGGACAACTTTGAAGAGAGCTTGCTCCCAGTTGCATGGCACCAACTGATTCCCATCCTTCAACATAGGAGAGACCAGCCTCTGCTTCTTCAATCCATCGTATGCAAAGCGAGTTTTGTCCGATATCCACTCTTCATTTATCTCCTGTTCAGTTTTGTTATGACAAATGATGCTGTCGTCATACAATAGATGATGCTGCTACGATACAATCAATACATGATGTTGTATTGTAGGTACGTTTTTGTGGGCCAGTTTTTTATATTTTGTGCTATTATAGTTAAAAATTATTACATCTGTAATAGAAAATAATAAAATCATGAAAAAAACAATCGCAATAAACAGTAACAAAAAAGAATTCCATAATTATACATATTGAAATAAACAAAGTTTTTCACAAAATAGGGGACAGTTGGAAGGAGGAACCTCATTGATCCTGGGCAGCACCCTCATGACCTCTCCAGTTCGCGTGGACACGACAATGTTGCTTCCCAGGGCATCCATCACGTCAATGCTCTCCACTTTCCTTCATTGCATTGTTATCATGGAAGTTTTGTAATCACATTCACCAAGTTTTACATGCACACTTAGGACAAATTTTACAGCCAAACAATAAAAACAAAACATCTATTAGCGATAATAGCACACAAAGAAATAACAACAGACAAAGTCAAAGAAATATTGAATAGTGTTATTAGTAACAACAAATCCAAAATTTATCATCAACTGAAAAATTTAAAAAAAAAAATAGAAAAACATCCATCACTGCATACTGGATCTCCCATGGTCTGGCTGTGAATGAGTATGGCTTGGAGGTGAGGGCACCAACAGGGCAGAGGTCGATGATGTTTCCAGAAAGTTCTGATTGGAAGAGCTTCTCGACATACGTGCCAACCTAGCAAAAAATATTCACAAGCTATTCATAAAGTCAGTGAATGTGTGTGATGTATGTAAGAAAAATTTAATAGATAAATTAGATACTTCATGTCATCAATTTGGTAAAAGTGAAGAAAAACTAAAAAGAGCAAGCACCATCAATTCAAAGATACAAAAACAATTTTAAAATAGGTACAACAAATAAAATAATAAAACTTGAAAAAAAGAAGAAGACAGCAAGCATAAACTTCACCTGCATATCACTACCTCTGCCTGTCGTTCCGAGATCATCCACACCCGCCACCTCAGAGGCAAACCTTCAAAAAATTAATGTGGTGGTTGCTGCTGAACGAACAAGACAAACCGTTGAGATACACGATGATATAAAAATCATTAAAAAGTTAATTAAATAAAAATAAAAATCTTAATTTCTTTCACCCATCTCAACCTTTAAAATAATTTCAAGAATTTTGAAAGCTATCAAACCACCAAAAAAATTATTTTATGAAAAATTTCCATATTATGACAAAAACGATCAATACATTAACAACCGGCCAGACAAGTAGCCAGACAAGCAGCCAGACAGGCCAGTTATCAAAGCTATCAAACCACCAAAAAAATTATTTTATGAAAAATTTCCATATTATGACAAAAACGATCAATACATTAACAACCGGCCAGACAAGTAGCCAGACAAGCAGCCAGACAGGCCAGTTAGTCTAGACATGCATTTGTATAATGTTTTTTTATTATCCAATACCCAACCTGATGCATCTAGTGCAGTGTATGCATCTGGTCATTATGGTCTTAACCAAGGGCCCAATGTCTTTGTCCTCTACTGCCCTGTTATATATGTTTGTATGTAACGTATGTATGTACGTACATGTGTGTGTGTGTATGTGGGTGTATGTTTCTCTGTGTGCGCGTGCGTGTGCGTGTGTGTGTGTTACCTCTTCCCGGTGAAGTGAATATCAGTGAATCGGCTTCTATCACTACCAAAGACCATCGATTGATCCTGTATAATAATCGAACAAATGAAAATGATGAATATGATGAGAATGATGATGATGGAAAATGATGAAAGTAGATTATTACACCAAATTCTGATATCAAAATGATGATGAAAAACAAAAAAAGATCACACCAAAGAATGATATTTGATATCTGATGATATAAAAACGAATGAGTGAAAGGAAAAAATGAAAGAATGAAACCTGCAAATCACATTCCCCTCCTTGATCACAAATTGGGCAGTCTAATGGATGGTTTACCAACAAAAATTCCATAACCCCTTCTCTATAGGGTTAATTAATCAATTAATTAATTAATCAACTAGTAATTGGCTAGTAATAATGATACCCAGTCAAATCAGTAAACCTAGGTTGAATTGAGATAAACAAATTTTAAAGCGTTTTTTAAAGTTTTGAAAATGTTCAAACCCCACCTAGCTTTCTTAGACAGTTCGGAGTTTGTTTTTATCTTCATCCCTTTCCAAACAGGCATAGCACATGAGGCTACAGGCTGTCAGTTGGCGAAGGTTTTCAAAATTAAATATCTTTTTTTAGAAAACTAAACATTCAAAAAATGACTAAACACTAGAAACAAGAACTTAATTTCATTAATTTCATACCACCATCTTCACATTTATTTGGGATTCAAAGCCACAAAACTATGTTTGGAACAAGATCATGACATTATTTAAATGAAAAGACAAGTTTTCTTTTTTTAAAACTACATCCCAATTTAAGAAATATCATTTCATTTAAATGCAATAATATGTACTGTACATGTGTATTTTGTACTGAAGCAAATAATACCTTCATAGATTTCTCAACCTCCACCAAACACATCCTGCAGTTTCCGGCAATGGAAAGCCTTTCGTGATAGCAGAATCTCGGTATTTCAACTCCGGCTACCGCACACGCCTTCAGGTTTGAATTTGTTAGAATTATTATTCTCTGAGTTTTTTTTTAATTTTGAAAATTAAACTGAACAAAGAATAGAAAAAAAGAACCAACAAATAAATAAATAATACATACTTTGAATGTCATAATTTTTATATTTTTATAATTACATTGTTATAAACAATAAAATAATAATTCTGCCATTGAAATCATGAGCAAGTATTATAAACACACCTCTGAACATAAACTCACCTGGAGTACAGTACAAGAAGGATCCACCATAACTGGCTTGTCGTCAACAAAAACTTCAACCTTATTCGATGGTGGGGCGGTGGTTGTTGCTGACATAGAACGACCTGTAAGTTGGGTTGAAAAGAGAAGATTAGGTGTCATAGAAATTTCAGAAAAGTTAGTTTTGTGAATATTAAACATAAAAGATAAAAATTCTCTTGATGAGAAAGGCATTATAGAGTAATTGACTTGAATAATAATTTAAAAGAAAAAAACCAAATAAATATCAATTGATTTTCTTCTTACCGAAAATTGAAATGACATTCTTGGTTTTGAAGCCATTCTTCCCAAATGGAAGTAATCGCAACATAGCTGTTGCCATAACTTATTAAAAGTTAGAAAATTTTGGACAAATTATTAAATGTTTTAAATAAAATGTAATCCATCAAGCAATATAAACATAATTAAAATATAACAACAGAGTATTTAATTAAGATCTTAAAAAAGATTAAATGTTTTAAAAACATATTTCATTGATAAATAACTTTTAATATAATAATTAATCTTGAATCTTAATCAGAATTTTCTCCATCAACCAACAGATCAATCACAATAAGATTTAGGACGAGATCAGATATCAGATCAGAGAGGTGAGTGACCAGACAGCTAATTAAGTTGAGATTCACTGACTTTACTTAATTTTTCTTATAAATAAAACAACTTAACAACTTATTAAAGCACTCAATAAATTTTTAATCAAACATCTATTTATTAATTTAATGAGCTTTTAACATATCCTGATCTAAAATTTAATTCAGTAAATTAAATAAAAGTAATCAGCTCAGCAATCAGCTCAACTCAACCAGCAAAAAAAGCAGAGATTGTTTTTCAGATTTTAAAGGACATACGGCCAAACAACAGCCAAATGATTCATGACGTGCTTTTTAACAAAATTCCAACACAAATGAATTTAATAAATTAAATATCATTAACAAATTTCACAGAGCTTACGGTTAAAAAACAACTGGAAGGTCGGCAGAAAATTAGAAATAAAACTATTTTTTTACTTTTAAACAGCAGTTAAGATGGCACCGCTTAATTTAATTTAGCTCCAAAATTTAAAGGTGATCTCATTATTATACATAACTGTATAGATTGATTTAAAATAGGTAATATTTGTTTTAATATTTGTTTTAAACAAAAACAAATATTTTTTATATAGATTAAAGTTTCAAACAATTTCAAATGGCTTACTAGCTTCAAATTAAACTACATTACTTGGAAATTGTGTCTAGATGAAGTTTCACTGACATAATAAATTGCTTGAATAGTTGTTGCTTGAATAGTTCGAATAATTTTCGAAATCTAGCACTGGTGAAAACATCATTTGTGAAAACATGGTTGTTGGATATAACAGCAAGAAACATGTATACAGTCAATGTAGAGCGCGTAGAATTGATTATTCATCTAATTGGGATGATAGCTATCCTGAAAATGAAGAAGAAACAATTAAGCAAAATTCTTTGTATTGTATCGCATGGTTAAAAAGAGCAGAAACAAAATGGTCATATTGAAATGTTAAAAAAGTGATCCTGGTTTTCTAACGGGTTTATATTATAGTACTGCGATCAGTTTCGGAATCGTAATTTATAAAAAGCAAAAAAATAAAAACAAAATAGAGGAAAATTGGTATATTCTGTAGATTAACAACTTTTCAAAAAAAGAAAAACTAAAATTTACTTAACTCAAGTATATCGAAATGTGACGAAAAAAATTACAGGAGCATCTAGCTCCATCAACATGAGTTTTCTGCAGATACTGCCGTGACTTTCATGGGCAACATTGGGCAGAAAGTTAAGTTTGATTTCTGAGAAGTTTTCTCACAAATTCCATCTTCTTGAATTTAATTTTCCTTAGAAAAGATTGAGGATAACAACAAATTCTCCATACTATTAAAAATTAAATCTATTGAGGATTTGAATCTCGGTGAAAATCTTGAAATAACTATATAACAATTGAGTTGATTCGATTATGGCTGTGTTTGTGTTATTCGTTTGTTGTGTTTGTTGATCATATTGGATGGCGTGCACACACGCACACACACACACACACACACCACAAACACACACATACAACACGCACAGATTAACGCACTTTTACATACCACAAACATACATTCATACATGTTGCAAAATAGCTTAACTTTATTTAAACATTTTATATGGTATTATTTACAGCACGTAAAAGCAATTAAAGGGAAAAATTTTTTTTCCTTATAAGTCAGTCAACAGACTAATTTTTGCGTGCAATCGAGGCTGATAATTCTCTCGCTCACTCTATCAGAGCAACTGTCAATCACTAATTATTCAATCGGCAATCATTGAGTTTATAGACTCTCAGAAATAAAACATATACCAACATTTTATATTTTCTATGAATTTTCAAGAAAACTCGATTTAATTTTTATCCAAATGATAATAAATGCATAAAAACAAATTTTGATTTAATCAAATTTTTTGATTCGTTGTGAAATAAACATTTTTTTGTCTTTAACATTTTACCAAACAACAATTTATTACATTTTATTTCTTCAAATTTATTTATTAATTTAATTAATCAATTAATCAATAATTAACGATTAATTAGTTACCTAATTAAATAATACTAAAATAATGCATGCGTAATAAAATGAAATGAAAGTAACTTAAAACCGAAAAATTCGAAACTTTTTTTTATCGGCATTATCACTACTGGTGGAAAGAAATAATTTTCTTCATTTTTATTTACACTGAGTACTTCCTCTCCTTAAAATAGCAGGAATGAATATCGCTTTCCACCACGTCAAACAAATACTTGCCATTCTCTGTTGTTCCCACAGATAAGTTCACTCATTCATTGAAAAAATGCATCCAAACTAAATGCAACTTACCCGCATACTGATAATAATTTTTTGTATTCGTTTCAACATTAGGTTAGTCTTTTTGTATGTGTATATAAATTTACGTACAATTTTAACAGCGTAATGGCGTATTTCTGAAACGTTTCAACTGGCATATTAACTTTTTTAAAATGAAAAATTTAGGAATAAATAGTAAATGGTAAAAAATATATATAAACAGGTGAATGATTGAATGAACGAATAAACGATTGAATGAACAAATATCGAATGAATGAACAAATAAACGAATGAAAAATGAATGTAGAATGAATGAACGAACCATTCCACAGAATGTTGTTTATGAACGTGATGGCTGGCGCGTTGATTGAAAGGTGCAATTTTTAGGGTTTTGTTACGCGTTATCGTTCCTCAACTACAAGCATTTGAAGTATCATATATAGGATACATGGTTTTACATGCATATATAAATATATATTGATATAAACATATCTACATACGGTTGAATATATGTCTAAATTTTTAAAGATTTTTTTTTTTTATAATGATGAATACCCATACGGAGAAAGGTATACATGGAGTATTGGATCGCGCCTATCAAGTCAGTATATTATATTCTTAAGTTATGATGCTATGCCTTAGGCTTTACTTACTAATGTTGTTATGTATGTATACATTATATATACGGTATGTATACATTATATACGTGTGTGTGTGTATATATATATATATATATATACATATATATATATTATATGTAAATATGTATATATCCAATAAATATCTTATGATGTCTTTTTAATTTTCCTTTTTTATTGCTCATTCTCGACAAATGAGAATTCGTTTGTGTAATTGTCTGTTATTGCGTCAGTGTGTCTTTGTTTGTATCCGCGAAGAATGTCTGTAATTGTAATGATTTGTAAATGCGTGGCTGTAATCGTAAATTGTAATGATCTGAAGATGCGTGATTATGAAAAGTTATCTGCTCTGCAAAGGAACACAAACGATCACACACCACACACACCACACACACACACACATTTATAAGTATGTAACCAATGTAACATAACGAATTTTTATTTCATTTAAACTAATATTTATTGATAATAAAGTATATTATTATAGCTGTATTCATGTGTTAAACAGCACGCAGATGTTTGCAGACCGTTTTCGCAGTGCATAAAGCAATAAGTTTGCCAGACGGCCTGTAAGCATTTGTACCTGCAAATAAATCAGCATTGAAGATCTTTGGTCCGGCAACAAGTACTTCAGGCAAGATGGATGGAGCTGAAATGGATTTGAAATTACATCAACAAATAATTTTCAACAATCCGTTGATTGCTCACTCTTCTCCGCCAACTGCATCGTTAAAAGACCTAGAAAAAAAGTTATTTTGTTTATTTGTTATCAATATGTATCAACAATAAACGCATGCATACACAGAGAATGTACACATTTGTACTGACAAATTGTATACATAATAAAGTTCCGACCGAAGCGAATATTTCTAGCTTCATAGTACCATTTAAGGTACCAAGCCAACCAGATATGTAAAAGGTAGTATGTAACAACTAACTCCAACCTCTTAAAACATAACATTATAATTACTAATCAGTCCTTCTGAAGTCTTCAATTTGCCCAATTACAAACACTAATTGAAGATCGTGCGTTTGAGATTAGAACGATGTTCTCCCTATCTAGAAGAATGTGTGCGTGTGCGTGTGTGTGTGGTGTGTATGCATGTATCATACGACGCGTGTTTGGGAATTAAATTTATTTCCTTTCAAAAATTTAGCAGTTGTTGTGTTGCTTTTGTAGTTGGTGGTTATCTGGTTTCTACTGCTTTCTATTCATTGATGACGTCACTTATGACGCGATTCGATCCTGAAGGAAATTCGTTTTTGAGATTTAGTTTGAAAGTAAGAAGAGGTGGTGCAAATTGTTTTAAAAGTTTAAAAATTATTTATATTCCCGTTAATATTATTAGCCCCAGAAATTTAATTAAAAGAGCTTTCATATATAAATATATTTTATGATATTTTTTGCAAAAATTATACCCGCTATTGATAATAGAGGTGCGGGTTTGATAGAGATTACCATTTATTGTTTGTGGGGTCCTTATCATCCTTACATAAAATTATCCTTACATACATAAAATTAACATTACAATACGTGTTGCGTGTGTATGTGTGTTTGCCTGTGTGTGTTTGTGTGTGTGTGTGTGTTTTTGTGTGTTTTGTTGGCATTTTCATTTAGTTTTATTACTATAACTTTCGTTTTCGCAGTTAGGTTTTTTTTTATTCTTTGTTCTATATGGCTAAAGCATTATATTATTATAAATCATTATAAAACAACAACAACTCACTTGGGTGTTTTAAGTTTTAGAATTGTAAAAGAAATCTGAAAAAAAAGAAAGATTTGTCTTCTAAAGTTAACATCTGGGGTTACATTATTACATCGTATATAACTACAAATGGTTAGGGGTTTCTTCCAATGTTGTATTTTATATCCCAACCAACCTTATATTACCACTATTTTAATATATTATATAAAAATTTTGAAAGCAAAATGAATTACTTCAAGTAGTTTAATCATAATATTTATTAGAGAATCAGGTGGAGTAGTTATTATTTTGGAAAAAAAAGGTGAAACTAAGTCGAGATATATTATTTATTTGGTCAGTGTGTGTGTGTGTGTGTGTGTGTGTGTGTGTGTATGTATGTATGTATGTATGTATGTATGTATGTATGTATGTATGTATGTATGTATGTATGTATGTATGTATGTATGTATGTATGTATGTATGTATGTAAGTGTTTGTGGAAAAAAAACTTAGAAAAGCTTGACAGGGGAGATAAGAGAATAAAAGATATATTAATGCATTATAAAATTTCTATTACAACATATATGACTTTATTGCATGTAAAAAATCCATTGTGCTGTATATTTTATCTGTTCTATTGGGTTATGATACTATATCTACTTATTTCACCGTATCTATCTATATGTATCATTTTTTCCTTGGTGTTCTATCAGAAATTTTTTATTTATTTATTGCTAGTTTGTTTTTCTACGAATATTTCCATCAATAAAATAAATAAATATACAGCTACACATACTCACAAGCATGTACAAACATACACACGCACGCACATACAAACATACACATGCAAATACAAACATACACACGTACATACAAACATACACACACACGCGCGCGTCAGACAGGTTTAGTTAGACACGTGTATGTATGATTTTTCCAGATCTTTTCCAGATAAATGTAGGGATGGATGAGTTGGTGGTGTGTGTGTTTGTTAGATTGATAATAATATTTTTCTCTCATTAATAAATAAAAATAAGAGGAAAATAAAAAAGAAGAGATATATCTAAACAATCCACTAACAAGGTAGAGATGATAAAAAAATGTAGTAGATGGATGGATGGATGGATGGATGGATGGATGGATGGATGGATGGATGGATGGATGGATGGATGAATGGATGGATGGATGGATGGATGGATGGATGGATGGATGGATGGATGGATGGATGGATGGATGGATGGATGGATGGATGGATGGATGGATGGATGGATGGATGGATGGATGGATGGATGGATGGATGGATGGATGGATGGATGGATGGATGGATGGAATGAGAAGAAAAAGGAATAAGAAATTTATTTTCAATGTAATCATAAGATTTAAAAAAACAGTTGAAGAAGTACAGCATAATTGAAACATCAAAACAAAATCATAAATCAGAGGTGCTACAAACAACATTAATAATAGTAATAATAATAATTACTACTACTACTACTATAATAATATTACTAATAATGAATATTAATATTATTTCTGTATTTTAAAGAGTTAATCATGGGAGTTATGTTCATTTTTGGTCATAATTACAACAACCGGTTAAGTTTTTTAATTAATTAATTAATCAACTAATTAATTATTTTGCTGATTTTAATAATTAACTATTTATATTTTTATTTTAATCTATTTAACTAAAAAAGAATTTGTTAAGTTTCGTTCACTATTGCATCAATTAAGAAATTCATTCATTCATTCAAATCGCATACGCGTATACATATTCATACATTCAGTCATTCATCCAACCGTTCATTCGTTCGTTCGTTTGTTCGTTCGTTCATTCATTCATTCGTCCATTAATCTACGAGATCTCATAATATTATTACATTATTAGTTGTATTATTGTTGCAGATTGGTTTTTTTCTTTCGAGATGTTTTTATTCCCATAATAATAATAATAATTATTATTATTATTCTTATTCTCATCATTAATATTATTACTAGTTTATTGTTTTGCTGTTATTATTATTATTCTTTTTATAATATTGTTATAATCATTGTTTATCTTACATCTGAAATCAAAACACTTTTCATTTTTGAGCAATGAGGTTTTCATTATATGTAACGTTGCATAACTTGTAAATAAGAAGTATCAGTGCGTGTGTGTAGAAACTCGAACATAACCAGAGTTCAGCGAGAGTCTTCAGAGGAAGAGTTTCCGTCAACGAGTGTTTCGACTCTCTAACTTTCTAACACACTCGGGAAACAGGGTCACATCCAAAGATCAGTTGGATGTCTCTTGCAGAACAAACAATTTGCCTCGCTTTGAAATCACCTCTTTTTATACTGAAATATTGTGTCGGCGTGCCAGACAGTTCACAAATAAACATATCACGATGTGAGTTATATCGACGAGCCAATTAACACGCTAAGCCCAAACAGGGAGTGTGAGTCATCGGATGTCTTTTTCTTCCTACATAACCAAATCCAGTAAGATGCTTGTTCGGCTGTATGTCCTATGTCCTTCATACAACTCGATCGTCTTTTATCTGCCAAACCCAAATCCTTCAAAAAGCTGTACACTGAACAACCAGCAACACCTCTTGCACCGACCTCAACTGCGTACAACAAACACCTCAACCCACTTTGTTTTATCACACTAACAAGCTCTTCATACTTGGCTGTTTTTATAGCGAGATTTGCCACTATATTAGCCTCATACGGTGCAGTCAGTTTGACTAACATAGTCTGCTGTCTGCTGTACCACCACTTCGGGTCTCGCTTCTGTATCCTTTATGAACGATGGGTAGTTCCTCATGCCTTTCAAATCTGCCATGACCTTCCAATCTCAGCCGTTATCAAAAATACGTACATGTATGTATGTATGTATGTACGTATGTATGTATGTATGTTGTGTATGGGTATGTATGTACATATGGATGTATGTACAACATACAAATAATATGTACACGGTTTATAAATCAATTTAAATTTATTTTTTATGGAAAAAATATTGTCGTCAATCAAACAGAAAATAAATAAAAAATGAAGATCCTTTCGATATTAACCTATATAAAAATGTCGTTTTGATAACATGAATTCGTATGTATGTATATATATATATACCAAATGATATAATTAATATATATGTATGTATATATATATATATATATATATATATATATATATAATTATAAATATATTAAGGTTTAACATAACAAGGCGTTCTTACATTTTATGGAATGAATGTGTTACAATAACCTACATGTTTGTGCGTGTATGTGTGTGTGCGTGTATGTGTGTGTATGTGTGTATGCATACATTGTGTGTATGTATACATGCGTGTTTATGCTTATGTTCATGTTGTATAGTTTTATTTCATTGCTTTATTTATGCCACCTACTATTCCATAAAAGAAATCTCAATTGAAATGAAATAAATAAAATTACATAAGCGATTGCTTTGATGAGCTAGCGTTATGAACACGAACAAGTCTCATGTTTTTAAACGGATTATCAAGGCAACCAGATTATTAAGTATATAATAAATATTAATTTTGTATAGTTTTACAATGTGATATTCATAAATTTTTTACGTAAATAACATATATGAACTTTAATATCAATAACACTAATTATATATTAAATAGTTAGAGTTCATCCAAAAAAGAAGATTTTTCCAAAAAATTTGATAAACGCTGATTAATCGCCATGAATGATGATGGTGTTTCTATGCGAGCCGAGAAATTCTTGCTAACTGCTTAATGTTCAAAGTTATCCAAGTTATTATATCATCCTAGATAGTATATCATCAGAATTAAATTATCTTATCATCACATTACTATCACTTAGGTCGTATCACCTTAATTATATAGTTTCATTAATATCATCTGACTTCTATCATCTTATTTATCTTAAATATATCATTTTAATAATATTATCTTAATTATATCCTTGTACTAAAATAATCTTAACTAATTTTATCTTAGTTATTATATCATCTTAGATAGTATATCATTTTACTTATATCATCTCATATATCATCTAGTTATATCATATTATCAGTTTATGCTTTACACAGCAAACAACATTTCAACGAAAGCTTTAATTAAGTGTCAAATATTCAAAGCAATAAATCATTTTATTAATCACATCGGTTTTATTAATTATTATTATTCTATTCTTGTATAAATATATCAACTAGGTTGTTAAATATCAATTAAATTCCTATTTTGTTTTATAAATTTAGTTCATGTGAGTAATTTGTAATATTTGTGATACTAATTCAAGCAAATTTAATTTAATTTAATTAATGTACAACTATTTTTTTTTATAGTTCTATAAAAAAAAGGTGTATAAATATTGAACGGGAGCTTTAAAGGCACATTTCAAATACCAAACAAGAAATAAAGTTAACAAGCCGCTGCGAAAAACAAACTTTAAAATAATTAATTATATGAATAAATAAATAAATAAATAATAAATAGCAAATAAATATTAATCAGAGAAATATAAAATAAATATAAGGATCAATTACAATTTTGTTCAAAAAGTAACAATGTGGCATCCTTTTAAAACAGCGGGTCGCTATGTTCTTCTTCCATTTTTTCATTTCAAACTGTTTCTATTAAATTCATCAAGAGTTTTTCAATTTTTATCGCCAATTAAATAAATTGTGTACACCTAAACCTTACCCTAACTTCGCTAAGTTTTGAAGGCGTGCCTGGTATTGATGTATACCGGCGTATTTTAAAGGAATACCACGAACTATTTTCTTTAAAAAAAAACCGCAGATTAACAAACATCAATTTAGATCATTTGACAAGGACAATTGCGAAAGAGCACTTTAAACTAAAACAAACAACAAACTGACAATTCATTAATCAAGTTGGTTTTCTTTTCACTGTCACATATACATTTACATGTACATAAAAAAAGTCAAAATGAGCTCAATTTACATTTCTTGACTGTTCATTCACGAAGGGAATAAAAATTTTTACACGAACATTTTGTTTCAAATGAAGTGGTGAACGATGATAGGATGACAGACTTCACGCAGACTTCACGCAGACTTCACGCAGACTTCACACAAAAATGAATGGACAACTGAATGATTGCGTGGTAAAGCAATGAAATGTTCATCTTCACGATATCTCCCCGCCATCATCCACTTCCTGGTCGTCATTGTTCCTGGCTCCGATCATCGGTTTGTTCTTATAATTATCCCACAGCGCTGATACAATATCCGCGACAACGAGGTCTGTCGAATTCTTGGCCACTAGTTTCAATACGAACACTCCGTCCTGTCTTAGATACATCTGAGCGAATTTTCTGGATAGTTTTCTGTCGCGATCGCTGTCTCTGTTCAACTTTCCCATCACTTTCAAATGTTTTCTGACGTAGCGGATTCGACTGTGCCTGAAGCCAACCAGCCAGATCCATCGGAGCAAGCTGATGATGGTTGCAGCGGCCACAAGGACCATCCAGAACCAGAGGAAAAGATAAATTTTCTCGTTGAAAAAATTAATCGGCAGCACGCATTGGACGGTATGGTTGTGCGTGTTGCCCAGGACGTGGATCTTAAAATCGCACAACGTCGTCAGGGGGAATCGAACCGAAGGCTTCACCTCTTTTCCCAGAACAATGTCTCTAATCACCTCGACACCGTACAAGTGATAGTTGGTACCGAGGAATAAATTCAAAATAAATAACTGACACACGAGGTTGGCTAAATACATAACTTTACTTATCAAATAAAGTGTCAGCAAATAATTACCCTGCCTATTTCCGCAAATTAGGAACATTTTCCTGGCCATGAAACGTCTGAGACCTCCGCAGCAGCCCCCCTGGTACTCCCGCTGGTAATCCAGGTAGTGATCAAGATGGCGAATCATGTATTTGATAGTTTTGTCTCGCCTCTCGGGGTACAAAGCATTCTGAATGGTTTCAGCTGCTTCTACCAAGTTGTTAATATTTATTCCGGATCGCTCACTAAACACTCGCCAGAGCAGACACGGCAAATAGAAGAAGAAAGCTTGAAGTAACATGACGAGTGGCACCCATTGATAGTAACTAATTACTTTCTTTACGATGTCCTGTTGGCCGACTAAGGTATTTTCAGGTACGGAGTAAGTGTACGAAATCCAGCAAACTCTGTTGGCGTACTCACCTTGGTTGGGAGTGAAGTGTCCGGGCATCCAGCAGTGTATAGGTTCGCCGACGTACTGAGATGTGCTGATGATGACCATGAAGATGAAGAGGAAGATGACGCTGTACTGGTGGTTCATCCTGTCCACTAGATCGTCGTCGTTTCGGCTCGATTTGAAAACCTTGCCAATGGCAGTGAACATTCCCTCCAGCATCATGTCTCTGTGCTCGTGATCCTTTTCTTAAAGTTGCTATCTTAAGGTATGTGCTGTTGGAAAGTGTTGATGTTGTCGTTGATGTTGTTTCGTTGATGCTGTAACAATCACTGAAGTGGTGCTGGTGCTGTAGAAGTTCACCTTTGATTTTGCTGATGTTGTTGTTTCTGTTGTCAGTTTTATTCAAAATATTAATGTTGTCGATGTTTTTGTTTTCAATGTTGTTTCTCTCGATGCCAAGTTTTTTTTTGATTAAAAAATGTTGTTTTGTTTCGTCGGGTTTATTCGATTGAAGAAATGTTTGATTAGTTTTTTTGGTAGTTGTAAAAAGTTAGCTGATGGCGATTACGATAACAATTATGATGACGACGACGACGATGGTGGTGCTGAGACTGTTATCTCTATGGTTGACGTCAATCTTTGGTACTGACCATATATTACCAGCATATATGTCACTCAAAAAATTTTTCTCAAATATGTTCTATCCAACGATGAGGTATTGTGGTGGCTTCAATGTTCAAATTCTGTTTCAAGCGGTATAAGTAATTTGGTTAGTACTTCAATGAAGATATTTTTTTAACTCAGTCGCGTTTTTTGAAAAAAAACTGGCGCATTGCAACACCAACAATAATTATAATATCTATAATACAGCTATTATAAATAAAATTGCATTAGTATTTAATTTAGTAATATTACAGAGTCAATTTGAATAACAAAAATACACTAGAGTGTTAGATGAAGGAAAAAATTTTTGTTGGTTTTAATTTATGGTTTTCAAGCTCACACACCCGTGAAATAATTTTTTCTTGTTGAATAAATACTATTTGAGATATTCCAGTTCATGTTGATGCTACGAAAACATTCCATACATTATAACAACCCAGAGATAAACAAATTTTTCTGTATAAAATTTCTTCAATCATCTACAAATATATATCCTCACATAGATAAACACCTACATATGTTGCATACATCGGGCATATACATACATTTGATTGTATTAGTTTGGCGGGTATTACTTTCACATCACGTTGCTCTGCTCCGTTGTATATATTACCGTTTTCAAACCGCAATTTTGCTGAGCTCAATTTTCAGTTACGATAATGAACGTTGGAGAAAAAAAATGTTTATTACCCGTGACCGTTGCAAAAAAATCTCTTTTAAATTTTTTTGCAAAAATTCAACTTTTTTAAATGCCTAACAATTTAAGTGGTAAGTAGGATTGAGCGTATAATTGATAATACTTGCACTTAGCAAGTTTAAACGAGTGGATTGTTTTTGTTTTCGGTGTTTTTTTCTAAACGGGAAAACACTTCTGTTTTTTATTGTTTTTATTTGACTGGTTTTTTGTTTTTGAAACGAAGTTTTGATAAGACGATTGGTCAGATGTATAGAGTGGAGATATTTTTTGCTGATGTTATTGGCTGATTTTGTTGTTAGTTGATGTCGTTAGTTTAGTTATTGCTGTTTCTCCATGTTGCTGTCATTATCCGTTTACGGTTTTAGATTTTGCTATTTTTTGTTACTTCTGTTGCACGTTGTTGTATGTTGTTGTTTGTCTGTTTGTTTGTTTGCTCGTTCGTTTGTTCGTTCGTTTGTTTCTAATTTTATTCGTTGTTGTTGGTTGCTGTTTGTTGACGTAATTAAAGCAACAGATACTCAAAGCTGATGTTGATGATGATGTTAATGTGATTGTTGTTTATAATTTATACATCATTAATCAATTAATCAATTGACTTTTAGCATTTACTAAGGTTAAGCATTCGCGAATGGATGGCTGTAAGTATTAGATATTTATACATATAAAAATATTTATCCGAAGTTAAACTTTCTCGCTGGCAATTGAGTTGATTTGTTGTTTTTTACGCAGCTATTTTTGTCTAAAAAATGTTTTTGTAGTTCAAAAGTCGTTGTTCAATTACTATTTCAACGTGTCTCTATGATAACGCGAATGTTTTACCGTTCTTATCTGAGGTGGCTGTTTGTTGTGCGTGTGTGAGGTCACAAAAGTGCCTGATGATGAGTCAAAATTAACTGCTGTTGATGTTTTAGATATGGTTTTGTTTCGTTGTTGATGTTTGATGTTATTGTTTTTGAAATTGTTGTCGTTTGTCTGTTTGTTGTTGTTTGTTTGTTGTTGTTGTTGTTTGTTTGTTGTTGTTGCTGCTGTTGTTGTTGCTGCTGTTGTTGTTGAAATTTCTGTTTAAATAAAATTTTTTGCAGAAGTTTTGGTTGAGGATGACAGGCCGTCGCCCAATTTTTAAAAATCTTTGATGAAAATATGTAGTTTCTCAGCAATCATTTATCTTATTTGAACGGGTGAGCAACAAGTTGATGATGATATTAGTTCATTTAACTTGCACATAAAGTTTTATTAAGGAATTATCATGAGATCTTTCAAACATTCAACTTTGATATCTTTTTAAATAACAGATCCAAATGTATGTGTTGACGATCGAACAAAAAACAATTCTGAACAAAATTTTGAATTAAATCTCTCTGTTTTTCACTTTTTCTTTAGACGAAAAACGTTGGATAGGTGATGTTGATGAAAAATATTCTTTTATTAGTTGATTATGCCTGGTCGGTGAATTAATTGGATGATTGATTAAAGTTAGCTGGTTTGTTAATAAGTTGATTGATTGAATAACTGGTAGATAAAACTACCAAGTGTACATGTTAACTTGAATGTCGCGAGTCTTCTTGGTTATTTGTTGACGGTTTATATTTCATTTTGCTGTCGGTATAACGCTCATCAAATGTCCTATTCACTGTGTATCTGTGATAATAAAGTTGGAAAGAAAAATTAAAAAGCAAATTTATGTTATATCTGGCAAACATTTATATTAAGTATAAATACAAATTTTTTATGAACTGTATATATATGCAATAAAAATATTTAAAAAAAAAAGTTAAAATTATTGTGGAAAATAATTATCTTTGTAAAAAACGAAACAAAACTAAAAGAAAGAAAATATAATAATCATGAACGCTCATCTGCATTGAGTGAGTTGTTAGGTAAACAAAGGAGCAGAACAAAAACTCCTTTGTTTTGCCATGTAAATAATACAATTTATGTTGAAGTTCTTAAGAAAAGGAAAAAAAAGTCTAAGAAGCAAACCAAAAAATATTTAGAATGAAGAAATAATCGTGAGTTTACTAGTCTTAACTTATTTTTGTATGAATGTGTGAGTGTTTTAAATTGGTGCTACTAAATTATTTATTAGCAAAGATATTACATTTTTTTCCGCCAGATGAAAGCGAGATATTTGATAAGTCTTTATTTTGAAATTAAAAAAAAACCCGAAAAAGATTTTTAGTTTTTTTAACTTGAAACGAATTTTTTGAAAATGAATGAATGAAATTTAAGCTAAAAACATGCTATATATTCTTGATAATTTTGATGAAAATGTGTATGCCGTTCCTCCAAACTATTTCTGAATTCCTGTTTAAAGTAATTTATTTTATTTGTTGTGTTATATTTTAAATTGCTATAAACTTTAATGATTATTGCAATGTAATTTAACTTAAAATTTTTTTAAAACAACGTTTTTCATTTAGTTTTTAGTTAATTTTGTTTTTGAAATTATAAAAAATTGGACACACACACACATACATACACGCTAAGAAAAATGAAACTTTCATCTGGAAAAAGCTACAAAAGCAAAATCTCCCCTTCCATTCATGTTCATCTATCGTGTGAGGCATTGTTCCGATAAGCATGGAGGGTGTTTATGATGCTGGCGTTGAAAAGCATCTTCTTTATTAAGATTCAATTCATCATTCGCTCTTTAATCTTTATAAAAATATCAAAATTAACGTTTTTTAGTGTAAATATATTTGTTTATTTTGCTGTTAGGGTTACACTACACGATGTGTGAGATTGTGTTGGAATGAGTCTGTGTTAGAGCCGGTTCTTCTTATGACTAATTACACACACGTTTGCTTATTTCTTCGTTTTACACACATGTTTGTACGCTCGTGCATGTGTTTGTTCGGTTAAGTACTTGTTTATAAGTTTGAGTATGTGCTTTTTTGTTTTAAGAGAGTGTGTAAGTAATTTGTCAAGCACACTTGAACTTGAAATTCAAGAAAACCTTGAGAGAGGCTGGAGCTGAGTTTTTGCTGTTCACGGATTTAAAGATAACATCAATTAATAAAACAAACTCACCGCATAAAGACACATACACGTATACGCACACACACACACATACACTTACACACACAGACATATAGACCATACATTTAAATCAAAATAAATTTCTACACATTTTGAGACAAAGCATTTAGTATAACTACAAAAGAACAAATGATTTTTAATTGAATTGGTATTTTCAATAAAATATTTTATAACAACAACTTCGAAATAAAAGTAAAAATATTAAAAATAATAATAAAGTCAGTAATCTTGGCACCATTCACATATGCTTCTTGAGAGAAGCACTTATTAACACGCAATGTTTTTTTTAAACAGACTGCAGTGTCTCTTAGAAGGTAGGTAGGTTAGGTGCGCTCTGTTTAACCTTTCCTATTTGGCTTAATGTTTTTGTTTATTTTAAGTTGTTTATATTTACCCAAGTGTGTGTGTATGCGTGTGTGTGTTTTCTACTTTGTTTATGTTAGTAATGAGTTTGTTTATGTTTTTACTTTTGTTTTTGTAATTTTTAGTTTTTCATGTTTACATTTGGTCGGTTGGAGTAAGTGAATGAATTAGCATTGTAACATAAATATAAACAACTGCTATAAACGCGGACATACAACAAGCAATACACACGCACACACACACACACACACACACATACATACACGCATACACACGCATACACATACACGTAAACATATTCACACATATATACACACACGCGCTTACACACAAATACCTAAACAGAATTTTTTTTTTAAATAAGCGGATGAAAATATCTAAATACGGTGGGGAGTAAAAATTGCAGAGAAAAATTTTCTGAATTGAAAAAACATCAGCGAGAAAA